TGAGTTATGGGGTTGGAGGAGAATATTGAAAGTGCCATGGGCTGCCAAAAGAACCAATAGATCCGTTTTGGAAGAAGTGCAGCCAGAGTGCTCCTTGGCCAAACTTCGTCTCTCATACTTTGGACATATTGTCAGGAGGGACCAGTCACTGGAGAAGGATATCATGTTTGGTAAGGTAGAAGGTCAGAGAAAAAGAGGAAGACCCCCAATGAGATGGATTGGCCAAGTGGCAGCATCGATGGACTCAAGCGTGGCAACAGTACTGAGGTTGGCCCAGAATCGGGCAGTGTTTCGTTGTGCTGTGTGTAAAGTCGCTATTGGTCGGTACTGACTCAATGACACCTAACAACACCAACAACGCTACCAGAGCTCCTTTTCTCGTATTTTCTTATATATTCTTATATTGTAACTTATCATAATTTTATTACCTAATAAAATTCATAGTAATTCTTTAAAGCCATATAGTATATAATTCAGATTCAAAGTTCATGATTCTCTTAAAAATATCACAATTGATTTATTCAAATAAAGATCTGAACAATTTCATATACTGCATTTAGTTGTTCTATCTCTTAATTCTCTTATTATCTAAAGATCTTCTCCCTCTCCCACTCTCATCCCTGCTTTTTATGCCACTGACTTGTTTAAAAAGCCATCTCAGGTATCATGTAGAATTTGTCCTAGATTCATTGATTGTTTCATCATGGAGTCTTAGATCTTACTCCTCAATCTCCCATATAACCAGTGAACTGGAAATTAGAGCTAAAAGCTTGACTAGATTTAGGTGCAGATTTTTAAAATTAGAGTATAACATATAATGTTTATCATTACAAAGTTATCATTTAAATAATTTTACTAAGATATAATAATATGCTTATCTTATAAAAGTATAATATGTGGGTAATTAAAAGAAAGAAAAAAGTGTGTTATCTCACTGTCTATATACAAACCCTTTAAAGTTTTTTATATAATTTCTTCCCAGGCATGTTAGTACACAGTTCATTGTTATCTTTATTTTTAGTGTAACTATTTCTACAAAGTGTATTGTAATTTATATCCCTCATTTTATATCTGTACTTTTAATTACTGGTGTGGCACTGTAGGTTAATACACTGAAC